ATCCCTGTCTGAAGAGTTGGCCTCGGAAGTTGTTTTAGTTGTTTTTTTGCTATAGTTTGGATTTACTTTATCTGCTCATCTGTGAACAGAAATGACGTAGATATTATTGCCATACTAAACTGAAAATATGTTTTTGTTGAAAGTACCGAGATCATATTGATGGGAATAAACCATTGGCCCCACACAGTCTGTGTGCTTGCGATAAATATTGTCACTTGAAGTTTATGTTCTTACAGACTAAAATCTTATCTTAAGGAAAATTTTAAATTAAGTTTGTTTGGGGAGATTAATGTTGACATATGAAGCATTGGTTCAGTGATAGAATTTCACCTTCTGTGCAGGAGACACAGGTTCAATTCGTGGCCAATGCACCGCATGCACAGCTACCACCCATCTGTCAGCAGGTTATAAACGGGTTATAGCAGAACTTCTAGATGCAGACAGACTAGGAAGAAAGCCCTGGTGATCTACTTCTGAAAATCAGCCAGTGAAAACTCTATGGATCACAGTGGTCCAAATGTACCCGATCATATGGATGGCACAGGACTGAGCAACGTTTCGTTCCATTGTGCTTGGGATTGACACGAGTCAGGCCCACTCGGCGGCAGTTAACAACGACAACAATGTTGGCATATCCCCATTTTTATTTCTTTTCACATATCTATATAAGCTGCTAATTCCAGTGGACCTATCTTAGCCCTGAGTTTATCCTCAGTTGCCTACTCTCCCTTTCTTTGATGATGAAGCGTTTCTTTCCCTTGGCTTCCATAACTGCATCCTTGCCTTGCTTCCTTTCTACTTCTCTGCCTGTGCTTTCTCAGTTTCTTTATACCTGAAATGTTGGTGTATCCTTGGGTCTCATCTTTGCCCACTTCCCTCATGTTCCCTTTTCCAGCTTTCCTTAAATAAGCTGTTCCCAAGACTTTAGATACCTTCTGTATATAAGCTGTTGACACCCCACTCTAGGTCTCTGGTCTTGAACTCCAGGCCCATTCATTTAACTGCCAGCTAGATGCCTTGACTTTCAAGTCCTCCTTGTCTTTTTCACTCAACATGTGCAAAAACAGAACACATTATAATATCTCCCCAGACCTGTGCCTCCTTCTCTTTCACCTGTTTGGGTGGAAGACACAGAGATCCACGCAGAAGCCTAAGGCAGAGTGCTGGGAGTCATCACGCAGCCTTCCAATACCCTCAGTCTCTCATCCAGGTGATCACCAAGTCCTGAGGATTCTGTCTTCAACAATCTTTTATTCAATACTTTTCTTGATTGTCAGTGCTTCATTTTTAGTTTAGGCTCCCAGCATACACAGCTAGGCCACTGTAACTAATTCTAACTAAACCTCCCTCAGTTCCCTACTCCCTCCCCAGGCAAGAATACACACTTCTTCTTGTTCCACTCACAGTCATCCACACTTCGAAATCCCTTGGTCTAGCTCTAGAGATTCTAGAAATGTAGTAGATACCTAGAAAAATGTTTGTAATAAAATGAAAGTAAATGACTCTGTTCCTTCATGTAAAAAGTTAACAGTATAGGTGAATCCATGACAGTTATAAAGAATGGGGAATTTAATGCTAATCAGAATTCAGGATTTCATCACAAGTGGACATTATGCCTTTATTTTTTGGAAAACAGTGCCCCAGGTCAATTCTGATAAGGGGAGCTAAACTTATCAATAAAGTGTTAGAGAAATGCTTTTTGATTTAAATAGTCTTCTAGAATATAATGCTAGAAGATGAGTCCTCTAGGTTGAAAGGCATTACACAATAGCCACAAAGAAGACTCAAACCAATGATCATGAAGATGGCGCAGGACCAGACAACGTTTCGTTCTGTTATACATAAAGTTGCCATCAGTCGGAGCCTATATGATAGCAACTAATAACCGTACTTGAATAACTTATACTAATGATTACACAGCATTAGATTTTTAACTGTTTGCAACTTATTGTTGAAATTATATTTGGCAATATGCCATTTGCCTTCAGATATTCTGAAAATATTATATTCTCCTGGTCGGTAGCCTAGTGGTTTTTTTTTTTTTTTCCTTTTAAATACCCATATTACACAACTTTATACCCATATCATACAACCCTTTATACCCATATTACACAACCCTTTATACCCATATTACACAACTTCTTGATGCTTCTGAGTGATGGACTACTCCTTACTCTGACCATGATAACCCTTGAGAAAAATTATGGCTGAAAAATTATGCCCTTATGACTATAGGAGAGAAGGACTTTGGTCTTTGACTAACGTATGTCTTTTTAAGATACTGATTAAAGTATAGAAGAGATTGGTGGTTGGAAAAACTACCACAGCCTCAACCCTGATCAGAGGATGAAGTACTCTTTAGCCTCTTCTGACCCTGTGAAGCAAGGGAACCATCAAGTGCTCTATTTTGTGTCTTACTTTTGTTTGTGCCATTTACTACCAAGTCACCATAAATTCATGACTTGACACGTTTTCTGTCCTCCTTTGGTATATAATGAAATACACCATTACTCATTTCGGATGAAGGGAAGACAGAGCAGATAGAAATGTTAGATATTTTAACAAGTCTCAAAGGACTGAATAAACTTTAAATTTTCTGTCCAGAGAATGGGTTAATAATTGGGAAGCTTCAAAGACTCCTGATAAAACATTCTCACACACTTGCTCAGAAAAGAAGCAAAATTCTTTATTTGCATGAATTTGTTATTTTTCTTTGAAAAATATCAGTTTTTTACCTCACAGAAGTAGCTTTCACCTGGGAAATTTTACAAGCTTTTTTTTTTTTTTTTAAAAGAGAGAAACTGAGGGTTGCTTTTGCCAAGGAGTGAGTAATTGTTTTTCCTGAATACTCACAAAGGTGTGAAGGAAACCGAGAATTTCTACCTCTTACTCCTCCTTGTCCTGTCTTTTTTTTTTTTTTTTGATACCAATGAACAATTTTTAAGCTTCCACATGTTATATAATTATTTGACAGTTCAGAGTGAGGTAGATCACAACCAAATACTCAGTGCAAATAGGTGCTTGATGTTTGTTGAAATTTTGGCGTCTTTAGTATTGTTTAGGTCTTATGCTTCCGGAATCAATTTTTTTAAATATAAAATATACCTAGAGATGTTTTTAGTCTTTGTATGATAAAATACATCGAAAGAATGTATCATAATCTTTATGGCAGAGAGATTGTCTTTATGGTGTGCTTGATATGAAATCACAAAGAGAAAAATCTTTTGAGTCATTGGTTCTTCGGGGGATTATGTTATGAACACAGAATATAAGCATACTTTTAAAATCTGCTAAAACCACCTCCCTTTCCTGTACATGTTGATCTTTGACCTGAATTAAAAATAATTTAGTTTTTTTTCTCCTCTCTATAATGTTGTTAAGAAGACATTAGGCCTTTGGGTATTGGGCCTGAAATTGAATTTTTCTTACTTTAGAAAAAAGGAAAAAAAATGGCTTGGGTGTTAGGGCATAATAAAAACTAGATCGTTCCTTTTGAACATTAAATTCATGCCTGTCTTGTTTTCACTAGCAATGAATATTAAATTTAGTCTGATGGCTGTACATCGTCTAAATTGTTGCACAGATGTTTACTCATTACAACTGTAGACTCATCTTTATGTCTGCTTTTGCCTTGAAGGATTTTGTCAGAAGCTAATGATGAGAGATTTGGCAGTAGGGACAATACCATCGCAAATGAGACCCGTTAGTACATTCTCTTAATCACAATTTTACATTAGAAACCAAAGGCTTTATAGTCTCTGAAGACACCCCACTGTGTTTCTGTGATAATGATGCTAGTCATGGGTTGCTTAGTTCTTGATTAAAATCTCCTGGCTTTTAAGTCATACTATTTAACTGTCAGAAAATAAAGGACTAAGTAATAAATTGTCAGTTGTCAAAGAAAATAATGATGTTATGATTTGAATACGTATTTTATAATTTCCTTCAGCGGTTTTGCTTGTCAGCTTCATCCCACCATTTAGTGTGGAAGACTTTCCAGGAAACACTACCATGAAATCTAGAATAATTGTATGATGTTGTGGTGAACCACAGTGGAGAAAAAGCACTTTGGAAGGTGACGCCTTCTCCAAAGCGGACTTTGACTTTGGAGTGGGACCAACCTGGGTTTGGGTCCTAGGCCTGCCACCAACATACACCCTGGGCTAGTTAGTTAGCTTTATAGAGTGTGGTGTGTATGTAAATCCTCTAGTGCAGCCCCTGGTACGTGTTATTATTGTTAGCTGCCTTTGAATTGGGCCACCAACTCATGGTGACCCCTATGCACAACAGAACAGAATGCCTTGGACCACTGTAATCCATAGGTTTTCACTGGATGATTTTTGGAAATAGATCGCCAGGCCTTTCTTCCTAGTCCATAACAGGTGCTTAATAGTGTTCCTCTTCTCTGTAAAAGTTGTGTATGTACTTCCCACGGGAAGACGTTTACAGTCCCTGTCTCTCCATGGGATCCCTCCTTTAGTCTTATGCATTGGAATATTGAATACACAATGAGTAGTTTGCTCATTGTATATTTATTCCATATGTGTGCCAACATGTGAATGCCAGCTACTGCATGTTCCAAATAACACTCCTCCCTCTCTTGGTAGGTGCCTGAGATCATCAGCTCCATCAGACAGGCCGGGAAGATCGCCCGGCAGGAGGAGCTCCATTGCCCGTCTGAGTTTGATGACACATTTGCCAAGAAGTTCGAGGTGCTCTTCTGTGGCCGAGTGACGGTGGCCCACAAGAAGGCCCCACCAGCACTGATAGACGAATGCATCGAGAGGTTCAATCACATCAGTTGCAGCAGGAAAGCAGAATTCGACTTGCTCTCCCAGAATTCTGAAACCGCAAATACTGTGACGGGATTTTCCTTAACTAATAAATTCCGATCTGTGTTCCAGCCGGTGGGCCATGAGGAGCAGGGCCAGAGGCCTATGCGGAAATCCTTCTCCCAGCCCGGACTTCGCTCCTTGGCCTTTAAGAAGGAATTTCAAGATGGAAGCCTTAGAAGTAGTAGTTTTTTCAGCTCTTTTGAGGAAAATGATATTGAGAGCCACCTAATTAGTGGACACAATATTGTGCAGCCGACAGATATTGAGGAAAATCGAACTATGCTCTTCACGGTAAAATAATATTGAGCCTCGAGCTTGTCCCTGCTCTGCGATATATGTTCAAAAGAAGATGTGCTTTATTGAGGGAAGATTCTTAGTAAATTGTTTTTGGCAGTTTTGTGTGAATCCATATATTCTTTTCTCAGGATAAAATCCATACTTCAGTTATGATCCTTTAAACTCGTTGTTGTACGCCGTTGAGTTCATTCCAACTCACAGGGACCCAATAGGACAGAGTAGGACTGCCCCATAGGGTTCTAAGGAGTGGCTCGTGGGTTCCAACCGCTGACCTTTTGGTTGGCTGCTGAACGCTTTAACCACTGCACCACCAGGGCTCAAAAATATATGAAAGAGGCCAAAAAAGGGATTTTTAAATTGTGTCTTAATTTCAAGTAATACATTTCAACAGAATCCTTTGGTTGGAAAATAAGTACTTTCTCTTAACTATTTTTATTACTTTATAAAATTTTTACTCACTGTTAATCAGAATAATTGTCAGCATGATTGGATGACATGATATTTGAGATTTATACCCAAACTGAAATATTAGTTTAGCCAATTGGTTGCTAAATGCCAGAAGGATCTTGCCAAATGCCAGAAAAGGAATGGACACGGGGAGCTGTCCCTGCTGGAGTTTGGGGTTCCTGTGTTCTAAGCAGATCTGGGGTTCTTCTGGGTAGGCTTGCCCTCCCTGGGAGCCCCCTGGGTCAGAGTGAATTAGTCTGAGCTGATGGGACTCAAAGTGCTGACCCAGAGGTGAACTGGTCTCTGACGGTGTATGGGACTGGTTGTTCCTTGGCCCCTTCCGTGTCTCTTCTTTGGCTTAATGCTGACTGACATTCTTTAGAGAGCAAAATTATCTTAAATGTAATATCTTGTTTTTGTACCTAAATCAGGGCAGTCCGATAGCTATGAGATAAGAAAGTTGACTGCCAAGGTTAATGCTGTGTGGATGTATTCAGGTTTAAAATAGAGATAATGTATCCTAGGTTAATAGGGCTGATTTATTTCTTCCCCTTTTCATCATTGACCTAATATATTGTAGAGTGCTACGTCAGCATTCAGACTTGTGTTTCAATCTGAGATCTGTATGTTAAAAAAAACTCTCTTGTCACTGGGAAATCTGCTTAGTTCATTTATTTAACAAGTACTTAATGAGTGACTGCTGTGTGCAGGGTCCTGTACAATATGTTAGAAACACAGCAGTGAACAAGACTCCCAACATGGAATTTAGATTTCTGGGAGTCCTGGGGTGGTACAAACAGTTTACATGCTTGGCTGCTAACTGAAAGATTGGAGGTTCGAGTCCACCCAGATGCACTTTGGAAGAAAAGCCTAATCTCACTTTCAAAAAATCAGCCATTGAAAACCCTATGAAGTGCGCAGTTCTACTCTGACACACGTGGGGTTGTCATGATTTGGAGTTGACCCAACGGCATCTGATTTTAAGGGAGAGAAATGTCAGACAATTGATGGCACAAGTAATTTATCTAATTACAGTTGTGATAAACACTACAAAGGAGAAGCAGAGGACGTTGCAAGAACAGCTGGGGCATCGGGGAAAGCTTCTTCCAGAAAGTGATTTTGACCGAGCAGAGCGTTGGTTGTGGTCAACTGGGAGTGGGTATCCTGGGTGCGGGGAACAGCAGGTGAGAAGGCCCTAAGGAGAGATGGAGCATGGTACCTGGGAGAAACCCTGAAGCCTTTGCATTAGTTGTTTCTTTTGCTTGGCAGGCTTTCTCCCCGGGTATTCATGGGTCTTACTTCCTCGCTGCCTTTAGGTCTCTGCTGAAATGTTAACTTGGCATGAAGAAATAATCTCATCTCACTTCTTTGCTTTATTTCTCTCTGTAGCACTTATCATCATCTGAGATATAATTACAAATAAGTAATACATCTTCTGTCCTTTATGTCCCCAAGAAGGTAGTCTCCATGCGGGCATGGATTTTCATGTTTGTTCACTGCTGTTATCACTCGTGTTTAGAACAAAGCTTAGCACATGGTGGGTGCTCAGTAAATACTTATTAAATGAGAAGGAAGGCCAGGTGCCTCCCTGGGAGCAAGGAGGGGCGGTAGGGGGAGATGGGGCTGGTGAGAGAGACAGGGGCTTCACTAGACATCACATCATGAGCCTTACTCAAGAGTTTGGTTTTCATCCTAAAATCTGTGGATAATTACTGAAGAGTTTAAACACAGAATGATACTGAATGTTTTTGGCTACACAGTGAGGATGTATTTCAAGGAGGGCAAGGGTAGGTTGAGGAGAAGAGTTAAGAGGCCATTGTAGTCATCTAGGTGAGAGATGGTGGTAGCTTGGAGTGTGAAGGCAGTGGGGATGGAGAGAAGGGAGGATGGAAAAATACTCAAGAAGTCAAGTTGATGGGACGTGGTGAGTGATTGAAAGTGATGGGGAAGGAGAAGGATCTAAGAGCCCTACCCAATTTTAAATTCTGATTTCCTTTTTACAGCCCAGCCACAACCAAATAATAATGCGTTAGTGTTCCTCAACTGTGAGACTTTCAAAGCTTCTTTTTTAAAAAATAAAGATTATCTTCATTGTGTGTCGGTATCTTCATTGTTCCCTAAAGAGAATAAACATATCCAGAGTAGAGACTCATTCATTGTTGACAGACTTTTCCATCTTTACTCTGTATTGCACTAGGCAAGGCAGATACTGTGTTGGCTCGTACTCTAGAGAGACACACAGTCTAGTCTGATTCAGAAAGATGTTGCGTGTTAACAATGAATTAGTTTTTTATCATGCTTGGTCTTCATGGAAGGGTAAGGCTAAAAGGCTACCTACCTGTCAGTGTTAACTGACTCCACATTCAGAGCGTAATTACTCCTGATTTATACTCTTAAGTTTCTGACAAGCTTATATATCGGATTTGTACTTCACATCAAAGTATAAAGAGTTTAAAGGGAGGGAAGCAGCTGTCAGTCACAGTGACAACATCAGGATGTGACCACTGACTTCTTTATCCTGACGAGAAACTAAAATTGTAGAAAACACACACAAAAGAACTCAAGAAATTTATCTATCTGGAGGCATGGAGTCCAGGGAGGTAGTCAACTACAGTCAGCTGGGGAGTGGGTATACAATTAACAATATGTGTATTGTAACAACCCTCTGCTATAATGGAGGTGTATTATGATAACCCAAGTCAATAAGTCAATGTTCATTTATACTAATGTGCTAGCTTTTCAAAAAGTCCGGTAAGATATGTAAATGTCTAATACATGGTATGTACTCAACAAATGGTAGATTATTTTAACAATAATTTTAAAAGACTTTAAAAAATAAAAATGACTTGCCATCGAGTTGATTCTGACTCATGGCGACCTCATATGCATCAGAGTAGAACTGTGCTCCGTAGGGTTTTCAGTGACTGATTTTTGGGAAGTAGATCACCAGGCCTTTCTTCCTAGGCTTCTATGAGTGGACCTGAGTCACCATCCTTTTGATCAGTAGCAGAGCGTGTTAACCATTTGCACCACCCAGGGACTCTATAGTAAAAAAATAGTCCTTAGAAAATGTTTTGAAAGTCGTAAAAGAAAAGCTTCAGTTTTCCAGAAGATTCACTTATCTAGAAACCTCATTTTCATATAAAGGAGATGTTCAATCTGAGGCTTTATTGCTACTTTTTGAGTATTTAGTTCTTTTCTCTCAAAGAAGACTGCTGTCTTTTGTAGGTGAGTATAGTAATGATTATCCTGTGCTACGGGAAATCCTTAGGATAAGTTACAACCTTTGGTGTGATTTCCTGCAATGATATAGTCAGAATTTTATAGGAGCTTGTTCCTTTATTCTTTGTTTCTGTAGATCATGAAATGAGAGATGTTTGTGTGACAAATTTAAATTCAACTTTCATGTTAAGCTAGTTTCTTTTTTGTTTGTTTTTTAAGATTGGCCAGTCTGAAGTTTACCTCATCAGCCCTGACACCAAAAAAATTGCATTTGAGAAAAATTTTAAGGAGATATCTTTTTGCTCTCAGGTAAACGGAAATGAGTTATTGGTTCAATTGCAATGGAATTTTTTTAATGATTTGTTTTAATATTTGTCATACAACAAAAGTGCACTGGATTACAAGGGATATGTTTTCTAATTACTGGATTTGTGATCTTCAATTTCTTTATGCTTTGGTATATTATGGTGAAATAAAGAATTTTGAAATTAAATAAGAATTTCGCTTTAAGTGACAATAACTTTGAAAAAAATAGATTTACTTGCCTTTTTTTTGCAATTATTGGTAATAATGTTTAGCAATCATAATTTCCAGATGTGTATGTTTTGTATACAGGTAGTCCCTGACTTAATGACAGGGTTCTGTTCCATTGACTCCATTGTAAGTCGGTTCTGACAAAAATCGAATACCTCATTTTTTTCATTATTATTGCCTTTTATTATCAGTATCTTTATAAATAACAGCAGTGTTTTGAAAAGTAAATCGTAAAGTTGAATATCTGCGAGTGAACATATGAGAACGATACCATCAGCAAATTACATGCGGCAACATTGTAGCACATACTACTAACGATAAGGACAGTCATAATATATGTAATAAGAACTGTCATAAGTGCAATTCGTTGTAACTCTGGGACTACCTGTATATATTTACACATACACACAGATATATTTCTTCTTAAAATAGATGTTTACTTTACAAAAGTTTGTAACTTTTTTTGGGTACCAATCACCATTATTTCTTCTCCCTTAAAATATAACACATAGTGCATATCTTAGATACTTTACTCAGAATACTGTGTCTACTTGAAAATTTCTTTCTTGATAATCTCCCGGGTGTGTTTTAGAGATTTTTGGAAGAATCTGTCAATTATGATTAGCTATACCAGTTTTTGGAAACCCTGGTGGCATAGTGGTTAAGAGCTACCATTGCTAACCAAAAGGTTGGCAGTTCGAATCCACCAGGCACTCCTTGGAAACGCTATGGGACAGTTCTACTCTGTCTTACAGGGTTGCTATGAGTCAGAATCGACTTGACAGCAACAAGTTTGGTTTTTGGTTTGGTATACCAGTTTTACTCAGGTCCTCTCTATCAAATATGAGAACACTTAAAGTTATGTTTTTTTATTTTTTAGACTCTAACTTCTCATTTCCATAATTAATAAAATACAATGAATATCTCAATGTTTGCTAATGTATAATGTGATCTACTTAAGTATTCAGAAGGAGAATTTTCTTTCCCAAAATAATAATAATAACATTCTCTATCCATTTTCCAAGAATACGTTCTTCTAAAGCATATTCCTGTAAGAAGTAACCTTTAGCTAACCCTTAATTTGCCATTGGAGAACACTCATTGAAATGCCAGGTTTTGCTAATGACTACTCATATATTGGAGAATATTTGACCTGAGAGTGAGATTATGTACAAAATTTTTTTTTTGTGGTTTGCTCCCATTTTCTAGTTGAAATATTAATGTTAAATGCTTACTTTTTAACATAATAGCTTTACTATTTCCTAAAGGGTGCAGTTTACAAGTTAATATGATTCCCTGAGCTTCAAGCTATCTGCACTCTTATCTCTGTGTGCTAGTGCTTTCAGAAGGCATTGCCATATTAATATTTATGGGAGTTGTTTTATCTGTATTAAGGTGCCTGTGTTAGCTGATGTTTTCAAAACAAGTTTATATATTAATATTTATTGAAAAGAGCTCTTAGGAAACTATGAGAAAGCCTTGGCCTTAGTACCTTGTATTTAAAGGCTCCCCTATTCTGTGTGTGTAACTTTTGACTTGTTCTTCATATTAGTTTAGTGTTTATCTCTTTTTTAGGAGTATAAACCCTGTTTAATTTTTTTTTAACCTTTGTGTGTGTCTGTGTATATACATATGGTTGTATTTATTCATTAATCTCTTTGATTCTCCAAGTTGTTTTCTCTCTTTAATACCTAAGTAAAGTTCTAATTTTTCTGTTATCTTTTCTCTGCTTCCATTATTTAGTATGAGAATGAGCATTAAAAACTCCAGTTTCCAGAACTTATTGTTGTGGAGACAATCAGAATAGCATTTTTGTAGAATGATGTTAATCTTCATCATCTTTCAGATGCTCTTAGTTATTTTTCGATTTTAAAATGTCTGAGATTAGTAATTTTATAGTGCTCTTTAAAATTGGAGTGTGTAAACCTTAAGTTGCATTTCTGAGAATGGTATTTCTTTTAGACACAACTCACTGTTCCATTCTCCTTTCCCCCGCCTCTGACAGGGTATTAGACACGTGGACCACTTTGGGTTTATCTGCCGAGAGTCTTCGGGAGGTGGAGGCTTTCATTTTGTCTGCTATGTGTTTCAATGCACAAATGAAGCTCTGGTAAGAGAGGCTTGCTCATTTTTACCTTGAAACCTTGTTTACAAGGAATTTCAACCTGATTTTTTTTTCTTTAACCAAGTCATATAGCCTCACTGATATATCATTATTTAACTTTAATCATTCATGACAGTTTAATAACTAGCTAGTACACATCTTAGCTTTATTTGAGTGTACGTTTTAAATCTTCACTATTTTTGAAGAACCTACCCACTTCTACCCTCTGGTCTAGCATTTTAAAATGTTATTGTGGACTTTTGAGCAGAGGAGTTAGCTTTTACCTTCAGTATTTGTTGTGTTTTTAGTTTTCTTAACCTCCTTTCCTTTGAAAGATTTGAGCATCTGGGTATATTTCTCAGACTGCAGTCCTAGCAGTTATTACCATTATAATCTGTCAACCTGTGATTAATAGTCCATAAAAATCTGGAGATACTGAGTCTTTCCACAGAGCTCTCAAATCAGCCCAGCTAATTTAAAATTTACTGTTTGCTCCCTGTGTTTCCCTTCTTTTCCATTAGGTTGATGAGATTATGATGACCCTGAAGCAGGCTTTCACAGTGGCTGCAGTGCAGCAGACTTCTAAGGCCCCCACTCAGCTGTGTGAGGGCTGCCCTGTGCAGGGCCTGCACAAGCTCTGTGAGAGGATAGAGGGTGAGTAGCGGAACCCTTCTGAGCTTTCAAATAAAAGTTCCAAGGAAACCTTAGGTGACATGCGTTGATAGGTTCAGCATAACATAGGCTTGTATTTGTTACAGAATTGTGAGCACACTTTCAACATGCAGAAGATATCTTCTGTATATCAGGCATGGTGCTAGTGTTGGGGATACAAAGCTAAAAACCCATGCCCCCTTCTGCCGTCTTCCCTCCAAGCGTCTCTGAGGTAGTGAAGGAGTTAGGGAAATGTAAAAACCAGTTGTATAACAGTTATTATAGACTATGATGGTCAGCCATGTTGACCTCTATAGAGAAATCTAGTAAGAGCTAAAGAAGTTCCCCCGGGTTTCTCAAGTAGAAGGTCATCAGTAACTTCTGCCAGAACAGTTTTAAAGGAGTGGGGAGACAGAAGTCAGGTTGCAGTTGAGGGACGAATAAAAAAGAATAAAAGAAATACTGTGACTTTGACTACACTTTCTAGAAACTTGGTTTAGGAGTAAATCATGATAAAACAGTATGATTTGCAGCTAATATTTATTCAGTACTTAAAATGCGCCAGGCACTGTGCTGAATGCTTTATTTAATATGCATTACTCATGTATTTAATCCTCATCACATTTCTGGGAGGAAAAGGGACTTTTTATTTTGCACATTTTACAGATGAGTAAACTGAGGATTAAAGAAGTCTAGAAATAAACTAATCCCTGCTGAACCCAGGATTCCCTGCCACCAAATGGTTAAGTGCTTGACTACATCAAAAGGTTGGTGATTCAAACCCACCCAGAGGCACCTCAGAAGAAAGGACTGGCAATCTGATTCCAAAAGGTCACAGCCATTGAAAACCTTCAGGAGCAGTTCCTCCACACACATTAGGTTGCCATGAGTGGGAACTGACTCGATGGCAACTGGTTTGTTTTTTCTTTTTTTTGGTTCCCTGCTACCGAATGTGTCTTCCCAAGAGAAGGCCATACTGAGGCGGGGCCGGGGGTGGGGGGCGGCGGGGAACCCAAGAGCGCCAGCCAACTTTTTTTTTTTTTTTTTTTTTTTTTTTTTTAAGAATTGGAGAGGTTGAGCAGTTTCAGAGTTCAAGGGGCCAGATCTATCAGAGTGGAATGGAGGTGATGCCTCCTGAGCAAGAGTGGGGGAATTAGCCTCAGGCAAGAGAGACTCCGTTTCTCTGCAACTGCAGGGAGGGGCTGAGGGGAAAGGACAGAACCCAGGCAAGGATGAAAGTACGTGACCATGATGCTCACCAGCAGGATCCAGAAGACGAAAAGGTTTATGTCTCTCTTTTCTTGACTTTTGCATTTTACTCTATTTATGGGAGAATTTCTAAAAATTTTTTTTTGTTAGTGATTTTAGGGAAGTCACATGATTTAAAAAACTCATGTTACTGTAAAAAGAAAGCACAGAATTGATCATTTTTGGAATATCTTGAATACTTATAAGCTGTAATTATGTAAAGAAAAACTACATTGTGACTCAGCTCTGATTTCCTTTTTTAAATGAGAGATTGACAGTCGTCACCTTATGGTCTGGAAAGGTTCAGCTGCTGGCATTACACTACTCTTTAAAGTGATTCAAAATGATTAATTTTTTTATATTCTGTTTCCCAAGTTGATACTGTTTGCTGATATCCTGCAAAATATAGTGGGAAACAGGAAAAGTTTTGCTTTAGCTGGAGATCCCAACCGAGACGATCACTAACCCTTCCTTAGTGGTTGTCAAGATAAGGGAAACAGTGACAGAAACGTCCCTTAAGAGTTTATTTCAAGGAGCCAGCAATGACTTTGGCCTTGATAATAAAGCAAATCCTCATCTGCAATCCTAGCTGGAAGGCTTCGAGCTCCACATGATCAGTCTTTTCTTTGGTCTGGGTTCACATTCAGAATGTTACAGGTAGAAGGTTTAATCAGGATAGGAATTCTGCTCCTGTTGTTTTGTAATTAATCATTTAATTCCTCTTTCTACCTGATAAAATCTGTAAGCTATAACCAAAAAAAAACCCAAACCTGTTGCTGTCAAGTCAATTCCAACTTATAGCGATGCTGTAACAGGGACGCTGTAGGACAGGGCAAAACTGCCCCAGAGGGTTTCCAAGGAGCGACTGGTGGATTCGAACTGCTGACCTTTTGCTTAGCAGTCAAGCTCTTAACCACTGCGCCACTAGGGCTCCGATTAATCATTTAATTCATCTTTTTACCTCATAAAATCTGTAAGCTATCCTAATGTAAAAACATTCAAACAGAAGCTTGGTGAGGGTATGTTTTGCCTGCATGATGGGAAGCATTTCTGAAAGTATAGATGGCACGTTATTAAAGGTGTTCATAGGAGAGGAGATGCTAATTATTTTCTGAGCAGTTTTAGAGGTAGCCATTGCTTTTCACTATATTGCATTCCTAATAGGTAGAATAAAGTGGCTTATTAAAACTCATTGTATGTTCCCATAGGAGCAGTTCTAGCAGGAAGTTATGGTTTGACCAAACCAAAAAAAGAAACCAAACCCTTTGCCATCGAGTCAATTCTGACTCATAGCGACCCTATAGGACAGAGTAGAACTGCCGCATAGGGTTTCCAAGGAGCGGCTGGTGGATTCAAACCGCTGACCTTTAGATTAGCAGCCAGGCTCTTAACCACTGCGCCACAAGGGGTCCATGGTCTGACCAGGAACTCTGTTAACCATGGAGAGGGCCAATGATGTGGTCAAAGAAAGGAAAATTTAAAGACTGTTTTCTTTATCAGTTATATGGTTAAATTATACCTTGAAATCTATAAAACAGAGTAAGTACACTGTTCATAATGATAATGTTAGACATTTTCTCCACTCCAAACTGTACTTACAACATCTAATGTAAAAGACGTGTCTGTACTCGATTCTGTACTTGAGCTGTATACACCTATTAGTTCTAATGAGCAGTATTTATACAGTGTTTTGCTTATCTTAAAGTTGAGGGGAACATTTTGGGAATTATTAGGATGAATTATATTTTCACTAGGGGAAAAAAAAAGTTGATCTGAGGTTTCCTTTTGCTCTCAGAGTAAACTTTCCTCCAGCCAGGCAAACACATTCATTATAGCTTCCTCTAATAAGAGCATGTTTCAGCACCTAACAGGGGGAGGGATTGTAGTTTGGGAATCCCCTTGACCTTGATTATCCTTTTCTGCTTTGTGCCTTGCCTTCCTTTTCCCCCATTAAGCCCTTTTGGCATCACACGGGGTCCTCTGAGTCGGTGCCTGCAGCGTGGAATTTTGCTGTAGGAGCCACCCACTGAGAGGCTGGTGGTGGTGAAAAGCCACATAGAAGGGGCTAGGAGTAAAGAGTGAGCACTCAGACCTGGGTGGGCCACCTCTTTTTTGAGATGGGGCAGGAAAGACCTAATGAATAGAGGCGTCCTGAAGACAAAGAGAACACTAGTTAGAGGGTCTCTTCACACCTGCTGAGTATGAAGAATAATATGTGTTTCATGATTTCATTAATGATTTTTAAAAGCACCTAATTGTCCTAACTCTTCTTAGAGCTTGGATTCCCCCCCCCCCGCCACATGTGAACGTTTCATCAAACAATATAATATTTCCAGAATATGCTTAGATGGGAAGCATTTTTAGTTAATGATTACAGAATGCTTATTTTAAACACTATTTTGATTCAACATTTAAGTAGTTAATACAGTAAAATCTTGTACCTGTAATCCTGGCTTGTATGACCTGATAGCTTTCCAGAAGAGTAACTGAATTGCATTCTGACAAAACCCATGCATATTTTTTGCATTTTTACCCACCTATGAATTAACTTTTGTTTTGAAGCCATCCATGTGGCAGGCAACTTGAGGGAGGCAGTAGAGCACTTAATAGTTTGGTCTCTGGAGGCAGAGAGACACAGTTTCAGATTCTAAGTCTTGTCCATTACGTAGCTGGTGTCATGGATTGAATTGTGCCCCCCCAAAATATCTGTCAACTTGACTAAGTCATGATTCCCAGTATTGTATGATTGTCTACCATTTTGTCATCTGATGTGATTTCCCTATGTGTTGTAAATCCAATCACTATGATTTTAATGAGATGGATTAGTGGCAGTT